CTATGATATATTTACAGGAAGATGGTAGGGGATTCCAATTTACAAAAAGAAGGAACTTCAAATTGTATACAAGTTAATTTTCTAACATAAATTCTCAGTATTTTGTTATGACTAAAAGTATTTTATTGTGCTTCTTGAATTAGACACACACTTCCAAACAATATTTATTCTATCAACATATGTCCACAAGAAAAGTACTATAAAAACCACCACTATAGATAAACCAATACCAGATAGAAAGACATATAGTAACTTGTTTAATTGTCTTCCATTGTGGTATCAACCCAATATGATAGCCATAAATCATTTCCATTACGTGAAGCTTGCATCAAAATAGTTGATAAACATATAACCATGGCAATAAACCATCCAATAAAAACAACATATCTCCTGTATAAGGCACTAAGTTGTTAAGAACAATTGAAATACGCATAAGCTGGCTTACAAAATTGACAACATAAGCTCCCTGTACATGAATGATATTAATAATCAATGTGTTTGTACTCACTTATACACTCCAAGTTCAACTTGTCACTCTTTCCTTGACTTAACTTCAATTACATCCTCTACTTCCTCTAGAGCTTGCATGAAAATTCTATCTGGAAGAGACTGCTCCTTGGTTATAGAAGAATTTGTGCTGCAAGATTGCTGATGATTATGCGAAGTTGAATATCTAAGTTAGTTCCTAATTGTTAACTAATATGTCTCTAATGGATTTATTGTTAACCATGTTTAAAAAGAGATTAATAACAGAATAAATCACATATATAGATTAGAGCTTACTAATCTACGCAGCAGACGCTCGAAACACCAGAAGGTATCGACTTCATCATCAAGAAGTATTATCATAGGAGAGCATAGGTCACTTATTCTTGTCGATTATATAAAGATAACCAAAAGTTTACATCAGGGAGTGGTTTACATTTCCAAACCGGAACGAATTTAACCTAAAGCAAAACATTAATTGAAAAGTAAGACAGTGGTAAAAATAACTTTTTGCACTCATAATCAAATGAACATTACACACACACACACACACACACTAAAATTCATAAAACGAAGTAACTAAGTGCTCACCTAAGCAGGATATTTCATCCCCGTCGAAGAAAACGCGTTAGGAACAATATTGATTCCACTATCACCAGTAGCCATAAAACACCATGAAGTAATTTCTTCTCATATTCAAATAAAAACAAAGTCATGTCAGCTTTAATCTTCTCAACAAATGGAATATAAGAAGACGCAAGCCCAAATAATCCACTCCTTAAACACTCTCGTTTCGTTTCACAGTTGGACATAAAGATTGCACTGAAATCTGGGTCGCTTCCACCAGCATTGTTGTGTTTATCATTAAACCCCATCGGTCTAGTGTCTCTATAACTATACTATACTAAAATCACAAAATTATGAAGAAAAGAAAGAAAAAACACGCATTGCATACTTACATGGTGGTAAACCCCAAATGTCCTTCACGTTTTTGACCTAATAACCAGTATGACTTCCAAAGCAAAACAAAATTATCAAGCATAATGTTGATATAGAGAATGACTTCTGAAGCAAAACAAAATTATACGCATAAGCGCGAAATTACATCAGCCAAAGGGAAACATATCAAGGTTTCACCAAAACTATGAAGGAATATAAAACATCTGCAGTAAGCCAACATTCTTTGCAGATAACTGTTACAACTGCATGCCTGCAATGCATAACCAACTCAACGGATGTATCTCCACCAGACGCATCAACATTGTATCTACCATTATTGGACTGGTATAAAAGGGATTAGATAATAAATCAACCAAATCTTTCACCGAACAAAGCGTTTGCAACAATTGACTCATGACAGAGTGCATAAATTAATATCATGGAAACATTCATAATCAACTACTTCGACTTTCTTGCATTAAGGTTTAAAAATTAAACCATTTTAATAATTCTATCATTCAAAAATAAACTAAATCACTAGACCTTAATATCCAAACCAATAGTGAAAAGCATTCACATTCCACATTCAAAAGAGTTTAAACTGGGACTTCCACAAGCAGTCTATAGACACAAAACACCATTATCGTACCACTGCAAAACAACTCTATAAACAACATTGAACCTTATATGCACAATAAATTAAAGTGTTCACCATGTCTGCGAAAATCGCTAAAGCCTTTACCCGTGGTTCAGGATTTGCAATAGGTGTAGAATATACAATGCATACTTACCAAATAATGCAGTAGTTAGCACCATTATGGTATAAAATCTGCAAAATAGAAAAGCAGAAAACTGAAATACACAACCATATCATTGTTATTATCTCAACGTGTCCTTTGGAAAAATCTAGAAACTGAACTTATACAATTAAAAGTGCTTATAGATGAAGCCCGTTCTGATTTGAGACGCTTTTCGACAAAGTTGGGAAGCTTCTTTGAATAAAGTTCTCCAGCCTCACAATTATAACATGTTGCACACTGTTATAGATATCCAGATAAAAACTGAAAGCAATTCACAAAATATCAACTATCACTTTTGAAAAACGAGAGTGTATAAGAACCAATTCAACATAGAGGAACTGGAACTATTTAAACATTTCACTTTGCAAGAGAGCGTGATAGGCCTTAAATTGAAGTTTTCAATGGAATAACTAAAAACCATTTCCCTTCCTTAAGAAACCATCTCCTCCATTGTGCAGAAGGTCCAAAAATCTAAACAAAAATGCAACAAATTAATCTTAAAAACACTAATTTATCATTTTCATATCAATTATTAAATAATTTCTAAAAAAACACTTGATTCATTTATGTAACTTTAAGCTTATTAAATATAACCAAATAAACCTAAATAAATACTCAAAAACATGAAATAATTTAAAACTAATGAGTAATAATTTAAAACCAGTACATTTTATAAGAAACAAAAAAAGTTCAAATCGTTAAAACCAATAATGAGTAATACTTAAAAGAGCTGCTCACAGAATGATACAGAACTTACACAACAAATAAAAAAGAACACCACGACTACATAAATATAACAACATCCATACTCAAAATGACTTCTAATTAGATTTTATAAATTCTAAGAGAGAAGGACATAGAATTGGGCAATGATATATAAGAACAAATTTTTAATCAGTTACTGAATCATCAAGATTAAATTCCCCTGCTCTATTTCATGCTGTGTAGCCAAATCTGCCCCCAGATCGGTGCATGCTTTCACCGATTCCATCTGCACCACTTTCAACAACTTCTTCACATCACCGACACTAACACAAACCATTTATCCTCTCTTTGGTAAAGGCTTTAAATTGATGGAAGAAAAAAAAACAAAAGCAGAGAATGAGAATGATATTGACGAAAGTGAATCCCGGTTCCATACTTGTTGAAAGAACAACATCAAAAGAGTTATATATGATACGACAACAAAGAAAATATATTATATGTATAAGAAATAAGAAAATTAAACCAAATACATTAATTTACTTACATTCCTTCAGTCTAAGAAAATTGGGTTTTAGGGTTTGCTTTAGAAAATTAGATTTCAGCACCGATATAAATTGAAGTAACTAAATTGTTAACTTACCCACTCAAATCTCAATTCTATACTTCCTGAAAGAACAACATAAAAAAAGTCAGATACGAAGATAAGGAAGGAAGGAGAGGGAAAAACGAAACCCTAAATGGAGAAGGAAAGTGGTACAAAAACCTAAATAGACTGTGGAATAGTGAGAGGGGTGGTTTTTGAAGATGGAATATGAAATAGAAAACAGTTACAAAACTGATGATGAACATGGGAAGATTGAGCGCTCCCATCATACGTTTGAGAATTGAGAGAATTAGGAAAAACACACATTTGAGATTTGAAAAAACAATTAGGAGAGCTGATAGGAAGCCACATGTTGGCTTGTAATCAATCAGTTTTTGATTTTCTTATATGATAGATATTTTTTTATGTGTTCTTTAATATTTGATGGACATAAAGATTAAAATATCTATTAAAGTATATTTTTCCATTAAAATATCTATAATAAAATATATCGGTGACAACATTTTTATTTTAGATTGTATAATTTTAAACTCGAGGAAATTTTAGATATCATGAACAAAAGATAAAATTAAACGAAGAGCACACTTTAAGATTTTTAAAGTTATAAATATTATAATCTTAATAAATTATAATTTCAAGACATTTAAGATAAAAAATCTTAAAAATATATGAGAATATTTTTCACTAACTTTTTTAAAGTCTTCTCGCACATAACACGAGTCAACATCTAATTCTTTCAATTTTTAGAAATTGGGTATAATGTTGGTTGACCTGACTTATATTTTTTCTTGATTATATGCTACATATTATGTTATGTTATGTTATTTATTTTATTTTATGTTGAAGATGAGTTTTATATTCTATATTGCATATGTTTTCATAAAATTTCAAAAATTACATACATATTTTTATTTTCTTCATTCTACTAAAATTTAATGAAGTGAAGTAGCAATTAGAATTACATATATTTTCGTGGAATTCTGGATACTGCATGTATTTTGTATTTTATTCATTCTACTAATATTGGTGTATTGGTTGAAGTGAACTAACAATTGGTATACTTTTCTTACTAATAAAATTTGGACATTGTATGTTTGATTTACTATATATTTCAATAAAAAATTGGTTTGTTATACAATTGGTACATGTTTAATTCTTTATTCTACTAATAAAATTTGGATATTGCATATGTTTGATTTATTATACATTTTTTTAATTTGATTTATTTGTATATAAATTTATAATTAAAATTGATTTTATTATTTAATTTGTTATAGAAGACTAATGAAGACATAAGAATCAAGTATATGAAATTGATTTAAATGATGATTGTTCAAGTATTTATTATTACTATTCTAATATGTTCGCTAAAAATAAATCCCCAAATACCTTCTAGAATCATAGAGCAAAGAGGGAGAGAGTTGGAAATGAGTTGATGAAACATATTATAGGAAGTGAACCATGTTATGATATCATTCGTATGGTTTAAAAGTTTTCTTAAACTTGTGCACCTTATTACGAGATCAATGTGGCTTAAACATGCTCGAAGAGCGTCTATCGAGAAACAAGTAGCAAAATTTCTTCACATAGTAAGACATGATATTAGAAACCATGTGATGTCATTCTTTTTTAGACGCTTTAGTGAAACTGTTATTCTTCATTTTCAGAGTACTAGATGCTTTGATAGAGGTGGGGGAGAAGTTTTTAAAACAATATGATACAACATTAAATCCGGTGAAACTGTTAGTCAACATTCTTTACATTTAAATTTGTGCATAAGTTGTTATATTTTTCATTATGTTTTTTTAATAATAGACATAGAAACAAGTTTGAAGAGGACGAGAAAACTCAATAGTTTAAAAACATGCAATTGGACAAATGTTATGGATGAAATTTTGCTTGATATATATTTGCATTAACAAACATTGGGAAATAAAAATGGTAATAGTATACAAACAAGCGCTATGGATATCATTCTTAAAGAATTGAAGATTCATTTTCCAGACAAACAAATTTCCAAAGAAAAAATAAAAGATCACATGGAACACATGAAAACAAAGTTCAATTCTTGTTACGTTTTTTCTTCTTTTCCATAATGGCTTAAGTGGGTTTGGATAGGATTCAATGACAAATATGTGGATTGCTGAAGATGAAGTTTGGAACAAGCTAATTGAGTTATTATTTATTATAATTATATTATACATTTATCATATTAATTATATTTGAGTCCATTCATTTACAAACAATATGTGATGCATTGTTTCGTTTATTTCGATTTAGGTAAAACTTGAAGCTCCTGAATGGAAAAACAAGCCAATATTATTTTATGATAAATTGACCAAACTTTTTGGAAAAGATCAAACAACAGGAGAACATGAAGATACATTTGCTGAAATCAGAACAAAAAAGGCTGCAAATGTTGAAAAAAGTTATGGCATAACCATCAAAGAAATAGATCACCTAGTTGAAACCAATGAAGTTATTTTAGAGGGATTTGATGATGAAAAACATCATTTTAACAATTATCTTAAAAGGTCTTATGTTATCAATTCTCAAGATGTATCATCGTCTAGAACTAAGAAACAAGTAAAGAAGGTTACTGAAGATGATACAAGCATGATTGAAATTTCTAAAATTTTCAAAAAAAATAGTTGATGTGTTTGAAATGAGTACAACGAAGTTGGTAAAATAGAGTAAAAATGTTAACTATGGAGATATTTGAGCTCAGTTGGTCGAGATTGACATTGAACCAAATTCTTTGTCTTTTATAAACATGTAACTTGTTAAGAATGTTAACGCATTAAAAGCTTTTAATGGAATTCCAATTGATAAGCGCAAGGAAATGTTACAACTCATTGTTCCAAACTATCCTTTTGTTAATGGTAATTTATTCATTTATCACTTTTATGTATTTTTATCTTTATCGAAGAAAATTTCGAGTAATTTATTTTATGTATTTTTGCAGGTTTTGTGGAATATTTAAAGAAGAGAATCATCTTCTATAATAGACTTGTACTTATCTTTTTTTCGCAAGACTTGATATGATTATCGACAATAGACCTACATTTATCTTTTAAATTTAAAAAGACTTGATTTTGTTTATGAATTGTCACAATTAATATCAAGTATGATGTTGATGAAAACTTATACATTAGATCTTTGCAATTTTAATAAGACTTAATTAATGAAAGCATGATTTACTTTCTTTCAAATGTTAAGCTAATATTTTTCTAGAATTATATAAGAGTTCATCTCCCAACTATCATAACACACTCTTAATCTCTTTAGAATCTAATTTACACTTATTTAAAATCTATATCATCAATCTTAACAATAATTTAAAACTATCATAAACCTTTTGAGGAAATGAATCTTCTCAATTTTCTTGTTTCATGTTTGTCCCCACTCTATCCTTAATTCTTAATTTTTTATAACTTTTTGTCACATTTATAATGGATGGTGATGATTTAATACTCTTTCATGTCACATAACTACATTCCTCATTATAACTCAAATTATTATTTTTTCAACACCCCCACATTTAATTAAAAAAAACACAATAAGGAAAATGTATAACTTATTTTCTTTTAAATAAAGTAGAAAACAAATAAAATAAAAATAAAATAAAAATAAAATACTAATTTTCATTTTTTGGTTATGCCTTTGCTCTTCGTTGTTCATCTCTTCTGTCTCTCTCTTTCTATCATTTTCTCTCTCCTCTAATTTCTCTCTCTAAAATCTCAGAGCCCCGGATTCTCACGCCGCTATTGTTGTCTCCTCCTTCGATTCCAGGTTCGCATGCCCTAATTTCGATCCACTCTGCTTTTTCAATTCCTCTTGTGACTCTTGATTTTATTAGGGCTTTTCTTCGTGTGCCTCTCTGCCATTTCTTCGATTTCAATCTATTTTTCATCGGAATTGTTGCCGGGAATCTTTGTTGTTTTCCCGGCGTTGATTGTTGCTTGGAATTTTTGATTTTGGGTTTCATGCAATTTGCAGGATAACGTATTTTTGAAATCTCGTTTTTTTTGGGTTTATTTGGGCTTGTTTAAATTTACTTATTGATTTTTGGTTTAAATTTTGAATTTTTTTAAAAATTTTTCAATCTCTATTTTAGGGTTTTATTCATGGGTTTTTTTAGGTTAATTTTTTTAGTTGGGTTTTTGGGTTCAGTGGTATTGAAGGGATATATTAGAAATTAAGTTATGTGTTAGTGGTAAAAGTTGACTTTTTCTAATCAATTTTAAGTTTTTTTTTTTTTTTTTTTTTTGTGATGGTGTTTGAAATGTTTGATCAAAATGTTTGAATGATTTACTGTGTTATGATACAATGTGGGGTTTAAGGGGTTGATTTTGGAGCTTTGTTTTTGTTGTGCTTGGTATCCAGCAGCTGTTATAAGAAGAGTGTTAGTGAAATAGTTCTTGATCAGGGAATGGCTGGGATTGCAAGTGAGGAATCAGGAGCGGGAAAGTCTGTGGAGGGAAGTTTTAGTGGGCACCGTTGTCAATCTGGTGAAGCGTTGGCAGAGTGGCGGTCTTCTGAGCAGGTGGAGAATGGAATTCCGTCGACTTCACCTCCTTACTGGGATACCGACGAGGACGATGATGGTGGTGAATTTGCAATTGTTAGAATCCTTTTTCTATTGACTGTTGCATAGAATCTAATTTAACTTTTTCTCTTCATAGGACCAAAACCATCTGAGTTGTATGGGAAATATACTTGGAAGATAGAAAAGTTTTCTCAGATTACCAAAAGGGAACTTCGTAGTAATGCTTTTGAAGTTGGCAACTACAAGTGGTACGTGGCTTTGGATATTCTTATTTGAAATACATGTTTATAAATACAGCTTTTGTCATTTATGTTTTTATTTGTATTAATATATGATTTTTGACAAAATTTAACGTTGATGAATTACAATTATCTCCAATAGATCTCTGTTGAGAGGGAAAACTATTGGTTTGGGTTAGTCTTTCCCTTACTTTGTGACTTGAAGGTGTATCGTATATCAAAATTAGAACATGATGATGACAGAATTAACATGCCCCATGCTGAGTTGGTGTTGAAATCTAACATTTGCATATAGTTTGTTGAAACACTCCTTAAGATTTGATGGATACCATATGCTATAGTTGGGGTGTTTAGTCTTTGTTGACCTAATTTTGGTGTGGTATGTGGCAGGTATATTTTAATTTATCCACAAGGCTGTGATGTATGCAATCACCTCTCTCTGTTTCTGTGTGTTGCTAATCATGACAAACTTCTTCCAGGTTTGGTTCTTGAATTTTGACATTGCATTAATGATTGTTCGTTTTACTCGCTACTCTTTATCCCACAATACTTGACTTTTTTTTCTCTCCTCTCTTTTTGTGGGTAAATGCAGGATGGAGTCATTTTGCACAGTTTACGATAGCTGTGGTTAACAAAGACCCCAAGAAATCAAAATATTCTGGTCTGTTGGTAAATAATTAAATGTGTTATTGGAGTTACATTTTCTTTTTCAACAGCATTGCTAACCTATTTTACCTGAATTTTTTAGATACATTGCACCGATTTTGGAAGAAGGAGCATGACTGGGGATGGAAAAAGTTTATGGAGCTCTCGAAGGTGTATGACGGCTTCGTTGACACTTCTGACAATCTGATAATAAAGGCTCAAGTTCAAGTCATTAGGTGTCCTATGCTTATTATTTTTGGTTTAATTTAATTTATAATATTACATACACACCTCCTTGTATACGTTTTAATAGTCCCTAAAAGCTTGTGATTCTGACTCCATTTGTTACTAATCTGGAAAGAAGAAAACATGTGTTCTATAATCAACTAGTAAGGGTTTCTGTTCTTTTTCTAAATGTAGTTTGTAGGAAATCTGATTGCTAGCAATAAAGATACTATTTTTTTCGTCGAAAACTTGTCAATATATTTTTGTGAAGTAAGTAATGGATACATTCACGTCATTGTTTTTACATCCATTTCTGTGATTGTAATCCTCGCAATCCATTTTTGTCATTTTCTAACCCAACAGCATTTTCCATGACCTTGTTTTTGCTTATTTTTGACTTCGTATTTACCTGCATCTACTAAAGGGCAAGGATTTCTATTTATCAATTATTTTGTTTTTGGGATCAGGTGCTCTGTGCTGCTGTCCTGGACTGACTTACAGCTATAACTAACTAATGTGAAATAGTGTTATATTTTGCTTAATAATGTGTACGATATTCACTTATCTTTTTAAAAGGTTATTTCCAAATTCCAATTAGCAATGATGAGTTCTAGTGTTTCCTTGGTGTAGTGGTGCTCTAGTGTTTGACTGCAATAGGATAATGGATAGTACACTGGGATGTTTAGAACAATTACACACATTACCCCCACCCCTAATTTTCTGTTACATTGGTTACCCAATGCATGCCAAAATCACTTGCTATTTTATTGTGGTCTGATGGTTATTTGCATGGGAAGCATTAATGACCCATTTTTATCGTCTACACCGGAAAAACTGCCAATTAGTATTTTCTGTTTTAAACAGACATTTTGGATTATTTTTTCAGAACCTTTAAAGTAAGCTTCTTTAAAATGATTTTTATCTCCCTAAAAAATGCTATTTTGCTGAATAGTGTTATCCTATTGGATTCATAGAAAGGTTTCCTGTGGCGTGTTTAAAATAGTTCCGCATAACCTGTGTAAAACTCCACTAACCGATGTAAAAATATGGACTGTTGTCTGTTGGTTCATTTGGTTGTCTGTTATTTTGTGTCTCTCCTGCTTCTGGTGCTTAAAATACTTAGTTACAATATACTAACATCTATCCTTCTGAAACTGTGATAATGTTAGATTAGGTCTTATTACTTTATTTTTTATATTTTGCGGTGTGCTTAATAGCTTTTAATCAGATGTATGACCATATATGTTTTTTTAATGCACAGGGAAAAAGCTGACAGGCCTTTTCGTTGCCTTGATTGTCAGTATAGGAGAGAACTTGTTAGGGTATATTTGACAAATGTGGAACAAATTTGCCGGCGTTTTGTGGAGGAGAGAAGAAGCAAACTTGGGAAGCTGATAGAGGATAAAGCTAGGTGGTCAAGGTATTTGGTTTCCAGTAGTATTGCCTATATATAGATGTAAATTATCTCCTCATGTTCGCTGTTATTTTTATCTTGCTCAAAAGTGTAACCTAAACCGTGAGGACCTTTATATTATTATCTTCTCATGCTCCATGATCATTAGCAATTTATTGCTTGAAGTTTTAAGTCATTTAAGTTCATTTTCCTTTAATCTAGGAAAGTGAAAAATGTTAGTCATGTATGCAAGGAAAGAAATCATTACAGAAGGGCAATGCAGTAGTTTAATCATGTAATGAGACAATGGTGAGATTCATTCTAGGCAACTTTGTGTAGTCTTAAGGCTCTTTTTATGTATTTGAAGTTTTACTTGTATAGTATATCTGAAGTTTTATCTGTCATGTTATTTTGTTTTATTGGGATACAAACTGTTTATGCTATTTGATATATTATTGTATTAGGATTCTTTATGCTTTGATCTTGAAATTTTTTGTTCTAATTTTGTCGCCTAATCAAATATGAATTTCAATATTTGCAGCTTCTGTACTTTTTGGCGAGAAATTGATCAAACTTCTAGGCGCCGCATGTCTAGGGAAAAAACAGATGTAATTTTGAAAGTTGTAGTGAAACACTTCTTTATAGAGAAAGAGGTGACCTCTACTTTGGTAATGGACTCCTTATATAGTGGGTTGAAGGCACTTGAAGGCCAGACTAAGTGCAAGAAAGGTAGGGTAAAATTGTTGGATGCTGAAGAAATGCCAGCTCCAATTGTTCGTGCTGAGAAAGATATGTTTGTATTGGTGGATGATGTTCTATTGTTACTTGAGAGGGCTGCTATTGAACCTCTCCCTCCAAAAGATGAGAAGGGTCCTCAAAATCGCACAAAGGTGAGAAATATTTTGTATTGGTATAATGAATGGATAGTTATTTGGTTGTAAAACTATAATTAAATGACAAATTGATAGCCTAAAAGTTGATTTTACTACATGGAGAGGGGAGTTATTAATTTACTACGTGGAGAGGGAAGTTATTAATTTACTACGTGTTCAACTGTTCACTGTTTGTTGGATTTGTTTGACTGTTTGCAGGCATTTATTTTTCTGTTCCCTCTATCAGATTCAGTAGTTCTTCCTTCCCATTTTCTTGTGTTCTTAGTCAGGAATTTTATATTATCGGTATGGATTGATTTCAAAGCCAAAAACTTAGAAGAGCGAAAATTGGTTAGAAGTATCAAACCCTGCGTCATGGTTAGACTCTTATGAACTGTCTAATTAGAAAGATTTCTCTAATGATGTGATACTTATAGTTATTAGATGCATAAGTTTTCAGTACAACACATTTGAGTTACAGTGTAATAACAAATCTACTTAAGGTGCTAGCTCAATGGTAAGAGCTTAGTCTTGTAATCGTTAAGGTCCAACGTTAATCCCCTCGGGGGCGGTTGTGAAATGGCCATTAGTGCCATTTTAATTAATAAAAGTTTTCCCCTTCTCCAATTTCTGAAATAAAAATCTACTAGCTGTCCTCGTTAAACACCAACAAACCTAATGCAAGTTCCTCTGTTAAACTAAGTTGCCTGTGCTCCATATTTAATTATATGGTTGCATGTAAAAATATAAGAACCATTTGATTATCGTAAATTTCAGCGCTGATTTATAAGTGGAAGACTTGGGAAAGAAAGGGAGATAGACGATAAGAATTTATGGGATTCATATAACAAACCGTAACAACAATCAAGAGCTTCCAATAATTCTGATATTGCAAAATCCTATTCTGTACTTCGTGGGAACTTTATGCAATTAATTTGTCTCCTTTGACTGGATATTTCCTCTGTAATTTCGATTTAGATTATGTTCATGCTGCCTTTTCTACCTATATTTCTGTAGATATATTTACTCGTTAGTGTTGTTTTGTTTGGACATACTTTTTTTTAAAAATAAAATATTTATAATTTAAAACTGTACAAGTATATTCTAGTTACGGCTATGTACACATAATGCAGACAGATAATGGTATTCTTGGTCGTCTGGGAAGTTGTTACTAGTTCTAGTAAGTTAGTCAATGGATATGAGATATTTTGGTTTTGCAGTTTCAAAACTCTTTTGTTGAGAAAAACCTTGTTTGCTTGTTTTGGCAGGATGGAAACTCTGGGGAGGACTTCAATAAAGATTCTATAGAGCGTGATGAAAGGCGTCTCACAGAATTGGGGCGCAGGACTTTGGAAATATTTGTCCTTGCCCATATATTCAGGTAAAATATTCAATTAGTTTTGGTTAACTACTCAGTTACATACTCTTGATTTTAGTTCATGCTATCTCCTGAATCAGTTTTGTTGCTCTTTTGCTCTTCTAAATGTTTTTTTTTTATGCTGGTAATGGACCAATGAGAAGTAGGAAGTGGGATCCTTTAATTCACCAGTTTGTTATAATATATTTTATATTTGTTGGTTGTGCTTTCACTTCAAATATAAAAAAATTAAGAATTGCGTTTTGTAGAGGATTAGGTTTTCATATGGCGAGTGTTAGCGATTTTCTGTTCAAAGTAGCTGCATGTACTAGGCAAGTTAGCTTGGGCCTATGTGATTGATTTCTCATTATGCCAAGAAAAGTTGTCTAGGTCATCCATTGCTAATTACAAAGAGCATGTTTGGTTCACCAGCCAATCTCTGTTGCAGCCTAAATGAAATTTTATTTGTTAGGTTTCTATATTGAATTTGTGTGTGAAATTATGTTCACCTTTGAACTTCAGTTAAGCCAGAAGGATGCTCTCTGTTGCTGTTAGGTGGCCTTTTGGAATAAATCCAAACGGCAGCATCAATTTTTCTTCCCATTTTATCCAATATATGCTGCATCTGATCCAGCCATTCGTCTCCATACTCCCTGTTAAAAACCAAAGTACCCATTTTGGTTTTCAGTCTCTGTTACCCTCTTCTCTTTTCTTCCTATCATTAATATTCAAGTATATATGCACAATCATTTCTTTCTATTAAAACCAACCATCTTATCGTCACATGTTTATATTAGATGGGGAAGGGTTCTGGATGGCTTCTTTGAAAAGCAATATGCCGAGTGCGTCCTTTCTTTATTAAATAATTTTAAATTGTTTAATCTAGAATCTAAAATATTAAAATTTTTTCTAAAAAAATAATTTACTTCTGCATATTAAGAATAATAGCCTAAAATCCTATTGATGAAATTAATTAGTAGATGCATTTGCTTGTTATTATCTACTTTCACCAAAATTGCCTTGGATTATTTTTGCACATATATTTGTTTTAACTTGTAATTGTTGTAAATTATTATTTTTTTCTTTTAACAAACGGATATAAGAGTTATTAATTATCTGACACTATAAAACTCATACCAGGTTAAGTAATTTTACATTCAAAAGTATATAGATATCCAAACATGATTTATTTTGTCAAATATGTCTATGAAAAAGTATCTGAACAGAATTTATGTTATAGAAAACTAATTTTTAACCAAAAGTATATTTACAAAATGAAGTTTAATCGAAAGTATGTTTGCAAACTTTATTCCGAACATGCACCAAATTGTTGTTAGTCGTTGTTTCAGAATGTCGTGAACTTCTCTTTCAGAATATTGTCCATTCAAATTTCAAACAGTGATTCATGGTAGCATAAACAGACTTATTGCAGAAGTTCCACTGTGGTATTTCTTAGTGGAATGGACATGGGAGACTTTTTAGCCTGTTAATGTTTACTATTAACAACCTTGGTTTCATTACATGATGGCATTCTGAGGCTTGGGTGTGTACTCTGTACTATTCATTATACTGATACTGACTTTGGAATCTGTGATAAGTAGATGCACAGACATGGGACATGGGTGAACAATTCGACTCCATAAACAAAATAATATGGACAATGAAACATAGAAAACGATATGCCGCTAGCCCTATCTTGTTGAGTAGAGATCCTCTCCATTCCCTAGAAGAAATGCACATCTCCATTACTATGATTTTTCTGTATAAATGTCTAATCAATATCACAATTTCCAAAAATATATGCATTTATATCATTGATTTAGTCCAAAACTATAGTAATGGACATGTCCATTTCTTTAGGGAAATGAAGAGGATCTCAACCCATGCTGTGTGATATCAATGTCTACACCAAATTGACAGTGTTAATTGTTATCATCCTGCAATCTTGTGTAGTTTTTATGAGTTGTTGACTTTATGAATGATAAAATAAGGTCGGCTTAACTTTATTTTGGTATGCAAGGTGTTTTATTATGTTACTGCTTATTTTTTAATCTTTGTTTACCTGTAAGTACTGACTGTGTAGGCTGTGAATGAATTAGGTTATTCTAATTATTTACTTAATCGATGCAGCAATAAAATTGAGGTTTCTTACCAGGAAGCCGTTGCTCTAAAGAGACAAGAAGAACTCATCCGTGAAGAAGAGGCAGCATGGCTGGCTGAAACTGAACAGAAAGCAAAACGTGCAGTTAATGAAAGGGAAAAGAAGTCAAAGAAGAAACAGGTCTGGCATGTATATTTATTATCAAGGGATCTTATATCCTAAAGTTGTTCTTACATAAGTTCTGCCTGTTCAAGATTTTCTTACAAACTCAAATTAAGTGAAATGGTTTCCTCTACAGAACATGCATCTTAAATGACATGTAAAATCAAAACATTGTGACATATATGAAGCACAAACTCTGACACCGACAAGGAGGCACCAACAATGTTAATGTCAACAACATAGGACACTAACTCCAATACATATATATTTATACACAAATATGAATAAATTGTAAAAGGTCAAAAATAGATAATCAAAATAGAAAAAAGTATGTTGCCAGCAATTTAGTGACTATAGTTTCTGCGATTCTTTCTTCATGTTCCCTTTCCTTTAGCATGCTTGCTACTAGTGGGATTAAAGGACATTGTTTTTTCATATACACGGAATTTGTGTGAGTAGCTCTTGGTTTTCCTTTTTAACTGCTTACAAACAGTTGTTCCTTGTCACTCCAGGCCAAACAGAAACGTAACAATCGAAAAGGAAAGGATAAAGGTAGAGAGGATAGGCCTATTGTGGCTGTATATGACAAACAGCAAGACGATGCTTCTGATGAGAAAAAGGATCCTAACATGGATGAGGTTCAAGCTCTAGATGAAAAGCTTGATGCCCTGGAAGTTGTTTCCGATGTGTCTGATTCTGTAATTGGAGTTGATGAAGTGCCTCAACCTGATTCAGAAGAAAGAGATGCAAGTCCTGTTAATTGGGATACTGATGCATCAGAAGTTCATCCTTCAACTGAGGCCAGTAGCAATGGTATAGGTGGTTTCGCACCTGTGCAAAATGGATTGAATGAGAAAAGGAGCAGTTCACTGATGGATGACAGTTCTTCGACATGCTCTACCGATTCATTGCCTTCAGTGGTGATGAATGATCCCCACAGAGGGAACTACTTTTCAAATTACAAAGTCCAAAAGTCGCCTAGCAAGTAAGTTTTTTTTTTTTACTGTTCCTTCATGTAGATGAATGCCCAAAATGTTTCTTTTGAGGTAATTTGCTTTGCCACTTCATATATGTAGAGGTAAGAACCGGATAAAAGCATCATGCGATGGGAGTAATTGGACAACTGAAATAGACAGTCAGGCATCTGGTTCAGCTGCAAATGCTGTTGATATTAACAGGTCTGGAAATGGCAAGGTAGGTGAGTCCGAGTCTGAAGGTGCAATCTGCTTACAGGATCGGTTGAAGTGGCTCGACAAGCCTGTTGTCAGAAAGGTTGTCTTTTTTCTTAAAGCTCATCCTCATGATTTTCTTGTTTCCAAAGTTTTTCATGCTACATGCTGCTTTCTCATGTTTGGTTATACTCGAATCTTCCCAGTTTCTTTTTTACCTGTCATGAACTATATATCTCAAAAGCTTAAGCTGTGAATATACAAATGGTTTATTATTATACTTCAAATTTGGCTCCTCGTGAAAAAGTCTTGCACTTGTGTTTGGACAATACGTATGCTAAAGTTTAACTTTTATTAGAACATGCAAGGTGGCAACTGGCAGGGTCTAAATTCTAACTAGGTTACAGTAACTTTGATTCCATTTTATGAGCCAACTAAGATTTTGACTGACGGCACATATTTTTATATTATATCTCTAACATTACCAGTAAGGAAGAGCCTTAGTAGTTTGCTCATTGAGAATGACTTAAAAAAAAGTTTATACGGCTTGCAAAAATAAGTTTATATGCTTTTACGCGACTTAAGCATCTGGACTTTTTTCTATCTTAAAAGGGGGCAGTAGCTTGGATATGGAATTGCAGTAAAATTAATGATTTCATGTTTATTTGCTTTTAAAGTCATCCTTCGACTTATTTTACCTTTTGCTGCCTTGTTTCATAAATCATGTTTATTTTTCAATTAAACGTCCCTCTTTAGTGCCATTACAACTTGAACCTGATTTAATAGACTTTGTTCTTTTACTTAATAGGAAGGGGAAGTTCTTATACTACAAAAGAAACAGAGCATTAAAGAGCAAGTTGATGTTGAAAAATCTGTTGATGTTGGGAGTCCACAGAAAGAGATGACATCAGTAAGGCCTTCCTCGCCTAGGAGTCCTCCTAGAAACTTACCCTCACCTGTTAATGTCAGGAAAACATCTTTAAGTCCCTCACAACAGACCGGTAAAGATGCATCCTCATCTTTAACTTCTGTATCACAAGCAACGGTTGTTCCTAAAACAGAAAGCCAGAAGACTTCACCTCCAAGACCAACTGAAAAACCTACTACGTCGGTGGCTATGATGTCAAGGCCTTCCAGTGCTCCTCTGGTTCCTGGTGGTCCCAAGCCAACTACTTCCGTCTCTGTGGTTCAAACAGCTCCGCTTCTTGCACGCTCAGCAAGTGCAACTGGCCGATTGGGTCCTGATCCCTCACCTGCTACTCATAGTTATGTTCCTCAGTCATACAGAAATGTAATGATGGGGAATCACATGGCTTCGACAGATACCAGTTTCACTCATTCCACTTCTAGTTCAGGAGTAAATCCATCTTCAAGCTACTCACAACAACCTTTAGTATCATCAGCAATGTTTTTTTCTCAGAGCTCTGACAAAATGGATTCTATGGCTGCTCAGTCTAGTGTTCCTTTTGGTATGATTGCTCGTGATGTGTTGCAAAACGGGCCGCAGTGGATGGAGAGTTCTCAAAGGGAATCCAACAGAAGCATGCGCTATGAACCATCATCCCGACTCAATGATGTTCAAAACCACGACCTGTTCAGGCCAGTAGAGAGTAGATCTTTGGACCACATGCCAAATGAGTTTCAAGCTTGCACATCTAGGCGTCAAAACCAAGGGTTGTTGGCGGATGAGTTCCCACACCTTGATATCATTAATGATCTGCTTGATGATGAACATGGTATTGGAAACACAGCCGGGACAAGTTCTGTATTCCAATCCTTCAATGATGGACCACATCTGCTAAATCGACAGTTCACATTTCCCGGTGACTTGGATACAAATGATGATTTGGGATCCTCAACGAGTTGTAGGTTTGAGAGATCACGAAGTTATCATGATCCTGGGTTTCAACAAGGGTATGGCTCCTCGGGGGGACATTTCGACCCGAGGGATTATCATCCACATACAAGTGCACTACCATATGTAAATGGAAATGGAAAGGTAGATGGGTTGGTTCCAAACCAATGGTTACCAAGGGCTGGTTCTGATCTATCATATCTCGGCATGAGAAATCCCGACAATAATGGTTACCCTTACTATCAAGATTACTCGAATTTGACATGTGGTGTCAATGGTTATACTATATTCAGGCCTTCAAATGGTCAATAGAGGGAAGGATGATAAAGAAAGCCGACAAGTTAATGATCATCAATGAATGTAATAACGTGTTTAAGGAAATTGTTGGGTCTATTTAGGATTGGATCGAAGTTGTAATCCCTTGATAAGAAAACATTTTGTAAAGAGTGTTTCTGAGTAATTTGGTTCCTTCCAGCTTTCCATGAATTTATACATGCCATGATCTTTTGGGATTATGTTTGTTTCCTAGAAAGTTTATGTTATTTGAATGTTATAAAAATAAGGGATTCAATTTTACGGACCAAAAATGGTGTTAACAATTCATTAAAATTTGAGGTTTTTAGGTTATCAGATTAACAATTTTGTAGCTCTAAATTGTCATAAGCAATAAGTTTTAAAGCGGATTCATAACTATGTGTGAAACTCATACATAATTTGATCATTTAAAGAGATTTCAGAAGAAAGTTATATGGCTGTTGATGTAATGGAGGCTAAAGAGCACGTCGGTGGTCTGAGTCATAAATAATAATTCTTGATCATATTCTTTTTCGACTAGTTCAGTGTATTACTTTAAAGAGACTCAATCATCCTCACACCTTCGAATGAGAGATAATTCACGTCTTATATTTATGACTTAAGGACTTATATTGTTCAACCATAAATGTTATTGGGTGACTTCAATGATATTTTAACTCCCCATTTCCTCAACCTAGGATAAATAAGTTTTTTGACATAATAGCTAGATGATGTAACTTGTTGAATTTAAATTTCTTTAAAAACAAATCATTTACCAAGCTCAATGTAAATGGGGTGGTCATTTAGTATCTCAAAGATTGAATAAAGGGCTCTTTGAGTCTAGCACAAGAGCATTTACAGTTTCTTAGACGATGATGATGTCTTATTTAGAGAAGTGAATAGATCATCAAGTTAAAAAATTTTAAATTTAAAAAAATAATTGAAAAGAGTGTATATAGAAGATTTTGATATAAATAAAAAATTTCGTATATACCAACCTAGTTATTGAAACTCAGATATGTAAAATAAAATGTCTTATGGAATGAAGAACACAATAATCAAATTTATATAACACATTATTAATCGCCTCTAGTAAGTTACTAACAATACTATTTCCAATGGTAACTAGTAAATATAACGAACTATGCAATTTATCAAACACTTGGTGTGTAATCGAATTTTCAGAATTTTCTTTTGAGTTGTGTTGATATAAAAAAACACTTATAATCAAAAGTAATTATAAGTTAGTCAACACCAAATTCAAAACAAAAACAACCACAGAAAAAATTCTTACGAATTGATCGTTTAATCAATGTTATTTGACAAATTACTTAATGAAGCAAATAAAGAGATAAGAAAGAGAAACACGAGGATTTGTTTAGGAAGTTCGCCAATCGTCCTCTCTATGACTATGTCTCCTCCCAATTATAATTTTAGAATTAGGATAATTTCTTACTATGCAAAAATTCGTTACAAGAGAAGTGTTCCAAGAGCAACTCTACAAATCATAATCGTTTGTTGTTGATTCAACCTCTTCTATTCTTATGATCTTGAGTAAGATCAAAACACAATAGCATACCAATTGATTTATCAAATTTTGCTACTCCTTTGGGTACCAAACTACAAAGCTCTTTCGCGCACGATCAATTGTACCTATTGCACATAAGACACTTCAATTCGATTCACCGTTCTCGTGCTACTTCATTGGGTACCAAATTTCGAAGGCTTTTCACTAGACCGCAATCCTTTCTTGAATGTCTTGCACGAAAATCCTCAAATATATCAAAGATATTGGAGGACAAACCCATAATTTTTCAAGATGAAACCCCCTGCAAATCTCAACCTAATGTTTTCGGTCACACAAGAATTTAATTAGACGTTATCAAACCTCATCTAGATGACATCTTGATAAAAGATGATTATGTGTGATTTATCAGAGTACATGCATATGTTGGAGGTTGAAGGTGAAGAGAAAATGCAGTAAGTGTTTATAGTTTCATCAAATTGGAATGATGTATCTATACTTGTGGAAGTTTAGATGCAGAGATGATTTTCGAAATTAAAAAGAATTCAAAAATTGACCTAATCAAACAGTATGTGCCGATCTAAAATATGTATGTGCCGATACATAAGTCAAAAACCAACTGTATGTGCCGTTCTAAAAAGGCAAATGTGTCGGTCTATGCAAGATATTAGATTTTTGCTTTAACACTGCAGTACATGTGTTGACATGAAAACCGTATGTGCCAGCACATAAAATAGAAAAACTGAAAGTTACAGTATGTATCGGTCTGTATGGATGTATGTGTCGATCTATGACACACAAAATCTACAGGTTTAAAAATTGACTTGCATGTGCCGGCCTAAAATACGTATGTGCCGGCACATACAAGAAATATTTATGTAAAAATTTATTTTTCAAGACTTTGGTCAATTTCAAAATGATTTTTAATGATTCTTAAAATCTCTAATACAAATGAATGCCACAAAATATAAAAATATCGTCCAATATACAGAAATGTTAAATTTTCCTAACTTTAATATCATGTAAAACATCTAATGATAAAGTTGTACTCCAAAAACCTAGTATCATAATAACTATTGTGAAAATACTTGACATTTTGGACTTTACAATCACATTTTGAAAGTTACAACACCTTCATCAAATAATTTGATCATATGTTTGTATGGTCCGTTCATAATCCACTTTTGCATCAAAAGAAGCAAACCCACCATCGTAAGTAGTGTTGACATTGTTACGTCAAACAACACCACCAAAATATCACATTTTACTTGATGTTGTATTAGAATTGCATATAGAGCGGATAGACCATTTAGGTCTCAAGAAATTTGGTGCATCCATGAGAGTTATCCTAAGACTGTGAAGACAACTTAGAAAAAATAAACTCGTAGTGTTTCTGAATTGCTTAACACTATTATGCAAGATTCACTTGTTTTCAATAAAAAGATATTTGATTATATATTAAAAAATATAAAGAAATACAAAGCTAGGATTTAAGAAATTCAAAGTTCGCTAGAACATGTTGACTCAACTTCACTTATTGTCTTTCAAAATAAACTTCTTAAAGAATATGAAGATTTTCTCTTTCCAATAACACACCTTTTTCTTTCACACACAAACTATCGTATGATGAATGGTGCGTAGACAATGATACTTTGCGTTTGGAGATTTTGCATCATTTTAAAAGTTACTTTTGTACTATATGGATAGTCTCATTGCCACTCTTGTAACTGAAGTCTATCAGTCTCGTAGAGAATGAAATCCTATAAAACTCATAGTTCAGAGGGGTTCTAACCCATTTTCTTTAAAATATTATAGAGAGGATATTTGCAATTTTGTGAGGTCTACTTTTTGGATCCTCAGGTAAGTCTCTTATGATTATGATTCTAAAAGTTGATAACGATAAAGCTTGGAGTCATAAGGTTGGTGAAAATGGAGGATTTGAATGTGGAGAAAGAGGCAGAGATAGAATTAGAGAAAGTAGAATTCGAGGTGAAAATATGAATTAACTTTCATTCATAATATCTCCAGGGTATATATACAAAGTACAAGTAAATTGAGACTAAAGCAACAACATCAAATAACTGAAAAATTAAATTTACGTACCTGTAATCGGTTACGCTAAGCCTGTGACCAATTACAACTATTTCTAAAACTAAATTCAATACACTGGTAACCGGTTAATGCGAATGTGTAACTGGTTACACCAACTACAAAATTATTTTTTTCATCTTATTTGACTTTGTCACATACCTGTAACCGGTTACACCTTTGTGTTAACCTGTTATAACACTTGAATTATCAATTTTTACTTAACACACCACTTTAATTCAAGTGCTCCGAGTCTTTTATGACCATGTTCATCTTTAACCTCTTGAACACTTCAATTGTGACTTTCTTGGTCATCAAATCAGCCACTCGGTCTTCACTACTACAACATCCCAATTTCAACCTTATTTCACTAACAAATTCTCTTAAGTAGTGAAACTTCATCTCAATATGATTGCTCCTCCTATATTCCATTGGGTTCTTAACAAGGTTTATAGCGAAAACATTATCAACCATGAGCGTTACATCGCCACCCTCATTGTTGGCCATCTCCTTCAATAGATTTATCAACCACACGGCTTCACACACACACACACACACACACACACACACACACACACACACACACACACACACACACACACACACACACACACACACACACACACACACACACACACACACACACACACACACACACACACACACACACACACACACACACACACACGAAACAAAGCAGAAATGTACTCGGTCTCACAAGCCGAGAGTGATATTATTGGTTTCTTCTTCTAACACCATGAGATTGATGTTCCACCAAACATAAATATGTATCCAACTGTAGACTTTCAATCATCTTTATATTCGAACATATTTGAATCGATAAAAACCAAGTAAATTGCATTTTTTGCCCGTGTCCGTTGCAGGAAAGAGAATTCCACATCTAATAGATCCTTTGACGTATCTTAGAATTCTCTTGACTACTGTCAAGTGAGACACCTTCAATCTCTCTATGGATCTACTTACAATACCGACACTAAAAGCCAAATCTGGTCGTATATTGCACAACTAATGCAACAATTCAATCAGCCTCCTATACTGAGTTGGATTAACATCTTGCTCATCATCATTCGTCGAAAAATCTAGCCCTGATTCAGTTGGAGCAATGGCATCATTACAATGCTCCATTTCAAAATTCTTCAAAATCTCAAGCGCATATCTCCTTTGATGCATGAGCAGTCACTTCTTGAACTTGTGAAACTCAATACCAAGGAAGTATGTCATGAGGCCAAGGTCGGTGATCTCGAACTATTTCATGATCACTCTTGAACTTAGAAATATACTTTTTATTGTTTCCCGTGATCAAAAAGTCATCTACGTATAGATAAAGGATAATCACCCCTTCACTTATATTTGTCTTCACATACACATAATATTCAAATACACA